AGCATATTAATCATGATAGTTTTTGAAACCACGGATCTCTTTCACTGAGGGTCCTCTCTCACTGAAAGATCTCGAGCCGGTTGGTGGCGAGGCTACGTGGCGCGACCCCAGGTGGCGGATAGGGGGTAAATCGCGGACCAAAAGCCACCATGTACTTGCCCTGAGACGCAGGTGGATTCAGGGGATGGACTCCCTGTTTCTGTAGCGCTGTGTGATCTCATACCAGCTTCTCCACCAGGACGCATCCCATGCATGCTGCGTGTAGTTGTGCGCTACTGTCGTGTTGCGTGTACCTCATGTCAGGCACACTGTTAGCCAAAGCCTGCATCAAGTGACTGGGAAGTACATGGGAGGCGATTCGGGGCCGCCTCCAAGAAATAAGCCCCTTGTTCCGCTCCAGGATAGCGTGGCTAACTACCTGGAGGTCTATCCTAGCCCGCACGACAGAGCCTGGCAAGCTACTCGTGTGCCTTCAATATGCCGAAAACAGCAATATGGATGGGCCTCATTCCCCTGAACCTGAGGGAGCCCCCAATACGGCAGCGTTGGGTAGGACCGCTCGGGAGAGGCTGCTAGAATCTCAGGGCCCGGATAGGCTGCCTAAACGAAGAAGGACTAAGATGGCGATCTGTACTTTCAACGCACGAACGCTTGCATCCGAAGCTCACATCGAAGATCTGATGATGCAGGCCAGGAAGATCAAGTACGACGTCATCGGACTGACCGAGACGAGAAGGCACCGCCCGCTACACGCCGTTTTCGATACTGGAGAAGAACTGTTCCTTGGAACATGCGACAGCAGAGGCGTTGGTGGTGTGGGTGTCCTCGTCAACACGCACTTGGCCATAAACATCGATTCGTACGAAAGCCTTACAACCCGAATCGGACGTTTGAGATTGAGAAGATGTGGTTCAACTCCTGCTTTGACAATCTTCGTCGCCTACGCACCAACATCCAGCTACGACGAAGAAGAACACGAAGCATTCTATATGGAATTGGAGAAGTTCTACAGGGAAGATCATACCTTCTTCAAGGTCATCGTCGGCGACTTCAACGCTAAGATTGGCCCAAGAAGAACGGCTGAAGAACTTCACATCGGTACTCACGGAATGGATGGAATGAGCAGGGTGAGAGACTGTCGGAGTTTATCATGTCGACCAACACCATCCATGGTAACTCACAGTTCCAAAAGCCCCCTCACCTTCGTTGGACTTGGGAGTCACCTGATGGACAGTTCCATAACGAGATAGACCACATCATCTTCAATCGAAGGTTTTGCCTGACCGACGTCGCTGTTGTTCCGAAGTTCTACACGGGATCAGACCATCGTCTCCTCCGCGCAAAGTTCCACTTTTCGATGCGTGTTGAGAGAGCCTCGAAGTTCAGGAAGCGAAGCCCCAGGACAGTCATCAACTGGGATCACTTCGCTTCCCTCGTCAGCTTATGGGAGGATTCCGTCATCGAAAACATCGACGAGGAGTACTATCGGCTCGTTGAACATCTTCACGATTGTGGCAAGAAGGCAGAGAGTTTGAAAGTCACCAAGGGACGTCTGTCTCCGGAAACTCTCGAACTGATACGCCAGCGTGGAGCCGCACGAGCTGCAGGCAATCACCGACTCACGTCCGAGCTTGCGAAGCTATGCAGAGAGGCGATAAAGGAAGATCTCAAGGAGCGAAGAGCAGCAGTATTAGCTGAAGCAGCAGAGGCTGGGAGGAGCATCCGCAATGCCCGCCGAAGCTTTGCCAGCTACAAGACCAAGATGACCTGCCTCCGACGTCCGGATGGAACAGTTCACTGCATCCCGAAGGGCAATGGAGAAAGTCATCCACGACTTCTACTCGGATCTCTTCGATAGCCATGTCCATCTGCCCACTTATCAACTGCAACAGGATGGATACGTCGTCCCCTCAGTTCTCTCTTCCGAAGTCCGACACGCCATCAAGTCGGTGAAGAATCGTACAGCACCCGGTCTCGACAGGGTCAAACCGGATAAAATAAAGGATAAAAGGATAAAGCATTTGCCGTTGATCAATCCCTTTTTGGGATGCGGCACGCATTCTACTTCCATTTGTACATTCGTAGTGGCGTTTGAATGCGATGTGGCCTATACAATGACTTGCGGGGGCCAGCCGATGTTCAAGTCAGTGTTTTTATCCTCCCAGACAAGTCTGGTACCAATTAACCGACCCCGGAGGGATGGAAGGCTTGGTTGGCCCGGGCGACTCACGACCCAGGATTTGATCCCGGACCGCTCGCGTGGTAACCGCGCCACTTGCCACTACACCACCCATTCAGCATACAAGAAATTGCTAATTGCTGAAAATCGAATCATTGTAAAAAATTGTGTAAATTTGTTCAAGGTTGAATCCATCGGAGACGGCTATCTTTGCGTATCGGGGCTTGCCGGCTAGAAACGGGCACAGGCATGTGAAGGAAATTGTGGAAATGTCCATAAGCTTCATGGATTACGTCGAGCAATTTAAAGTGGTCCCATTTCCCAAAGGAGAAGATTCAATTGAGGATTGGAGTCAACAGTGGTGAGTTCTATAGTTTTTTATTCGGTGCTCGCATCACTACCTTATGAAATATTTTTCGCAAAAGTTGCCAATGTAGCGAATTTATTGGTCAGAGAGTTAGGGGTTCTGGCAGACGCAAACAAGAACTGAATGAAGTATGGTTGTTTTTGACCTAAAGCCATCTTCATGATAGTCAACATTGTTTTGAAGGAATCTAAACCTATAGGAGTTTTTAGTGGTTCTCAATTCCGAGTTTACACCGATCAGATATCTTTTAGTACAGCTAAGCTAATCGTAAGCTCAATAATACCACGGACGATAAATTTTTGTTCCGGAGACCACAGTTTTTGGAGGTTTTACGCTGCTGTCATTGTTAGAACTGCTAATTGTAGTCAAGTTAGAGTGCAAAAAAGACTGCCTCCATTATTTTCCTTATCGAAAATAACAAGCGTATTTCAAAAAAGTTAATTTTTGAACCGGCGATACTTCGGTGATTCGCACCATCTTCTGGCCTGAAATAACTTTCAAATTAGTAGATTACCTGAGGAGTCCTTATTTAGATATTCTTGCTCTGTGATTCCAAAGGTGGGGCATGAAAAGAAGTGGTGGTGGTGCGGACACGTATCAGGCGACGCATTGAAGGAATCGGATTAAAGCCTTCGATTTTGGAGAATGGAGACAAAAAGATCGATAGAATATGCCGTAGAAGTGTGAGATGTTAGCGCAATAAGGCAAAAGGTCAAAAGGAGAGCTACGATCATTGTCGTGATCGCTGCATCCAAAAAATGTGATTTTAGGTTCGTGCGTTGCTGGAGTAGTCGGTCTGAGCATGCCACGTTACTGCCTTTTCGGTGATACGGTAAATACAGCGTCGAGGATGGAGAGCAATGGCAAACGTACGTTCAATAATAATAACGAAATTTTGGAAGGAACAAAAAACTCTTTAGCAGCTGATGAAACAGAGGATGAAAAAAGTGCTGATTTCATTTTTTTCATCTGGGCCACATCCCTTCTTTGTGAAACCAGAGAGCACTCAATTTGACGTTCCTCACTTACAATTTCTCGGTTTTCTTATGAATGCGGAATCATTTCAGCTGGAAAGATCCATGTCAGCGAAAGCACCTTCACAATGTTACAGCAGCATTACTATGGAGAATTTATTTTGGAGAGCCGTGGTGAAATAATTATCAAGGTTAGCGTTTAAAAATTGAACTGCTATTTGTTTGAGAGAAGCACTTGTCGTCTATTTTCAGGGGAAAAGGCGTGATGAAAACATTTTGGTTGAATGGACGAAGATCGCACACACATCGCGAGCACAAGGTTCTCCAAGAAGAAAGAAATAATAGCTTCGAGGAAGACAACTAGAAAATAAAAAATTTTGTCTGTATACCGCTGTTCATGAGAAATTTTGCGATGAAACTGATGCTCAGAAAGACAAGTTGGGTACTGGAGAAGGTAGAGCAGGTCCAAGTGGACGGCA